AAAACAGTGTTAATAGCTGTCTTTACACTAACGCCATGGAATTTACATTAACAGTTTCTTGTCATCACCCCCATGCAATCGGTAGAGCTGTATCAAGCATCATTATTTATGCTAATTGCTTAAGCTAATACCATGTGGCGCTAAACGCTCTTTAATTAGGAGAATTTAATAAAATTTTGTAAATTTGTGTGTAAGTTTGTACGTGGTGATGCATATTATACGGATTACTAAATCATAATAATATAGACTATTTGTCCTTGTGTGGAACCCCATAATAGTGAATGAAATATATTTCTTCGCCAACAAGGAAAGTAAAATTGTGCATAAGAATACAATGAATATTTTAAATGTAACAAAAATTATAATTCTAAAGAACAAGTTACCTTACATTTTAACAGTAGTTATGTATACTGAAAGTTACTCGCACTTTATAATAAAAAAGTTCCAGATCCCCTGTTGTCATGCCAACTACTCCATTCATCGTCTATTGGACTTAGTTCAATGGACGTGGTGACGTACTATTATCCAACATCTCAATTTCCATTGTAACAAAGTGGTCCATGTAAAAGTAAACAATACTGGCCGTAATTGAATGCTTATGTGTAATATCATTATGTAGTGGACTTTCAATTGGATTTATGAGAACTGACAGATAACGCATAACTAAACATGGATGGTGCATAGAAAAGTGCTAACACTCTACTGTCACACAGAACAATACAAATCCAAAATAACGTTATTTAAGTTAGGCCTACTTTCACTGTTAATACACTGAATCGAGTTTTAAGTATAAATAAAAGTAAGTTACATTATACCGTAACTTGCTGAAGAATATACAGTATATAAACAAAACATATCTTAACGTTAAATAGTAAAATTAACAGGCTAACGTTCACAGCAGTGACATTGAAACCGGTTACCAGTGCCACTGGCAGTGGTGTAGTTGTGCCGAATCGAGAGAGAATGCGACCTCTCATTTCATGGTTCGGGGGGGGGGGGCTCCGCTCCCACACTTCAAATATAGATTATTTTTCATGTTGCTTTCTCATACATTTAAATGTGGATCGATGGGCTTCTAACATGGGACACTTTATATAAAACCAAGTTTTATATTTAGCGCAAAGCTCTCTGATACTGCATCTACTGCTGCTTTACAATAACATACCTCACACAATGATTTTCTATATTTCTAATTATGTAGTAAACATGTTGGCCATACTGGGTAACTAGTTTGATAACCAGCTGCTCTGTCGGGGAAGGGTACGGGAGATTTTGGCGACACTTCTTTTCTAAATTTAGCACCACATCACTGCTGGTTACCTATTAATCACCACAGTTAACAGTCTAGGAGTTTATTACTATCAATTTCGTGAAAGATCTGGATTAGGTTGTAGTCTTTTTTTTTTTGCGTTCCAGAAAAGCACAGGATAACACTTGTACTAATCAAAGGCAATAGTCACAAAGTATGTGATGACACCTATCGGACAAATTTCCAATATATATATACATATATATATATATATAATAAAGAAACAATAATCACCAATATAATGTACCTTAAAAGCATTCGAACAGTGACATCATGACATGCATAACGAAAACAGACGTTTTTAATGAAATTATGATTTACTATCCAACTTTTTAAAACTATAATCTCAACCATATATAAAATACGTTCGTGTAAACACCAGAAATTGGCACTTGTCAACTGCCACCTTCTAAAGGTGTTTGTAACTGATTTACAAACATCGTTTACGTCATAAAGAGGTGTGTCAAAAAAGTTCAGAACGAGCAAATTGCATGTACATACAGCTAACCCTGAAAAGTCTATTAAAATTCAGAGATATTTATCGTTGTGTTGTTACTGTAGGAAAACCAAACACGAGTTATGTAGTATTTAAATAAAACTATACATGCAGAAGTACGAGCTACATTGTTAAAACATAAGATATCGAATAGCTCATTGAAATTTAACTATTAACGTAAAGAACACAAAAATATCAGATATTTTAAAAAGCTAATATGTTATTTAACTAGTAAATTATGTCTCTTTAAATTAAATATTTACACGCTCTGTTTACAAAAAATGCAGATACTGAAAACGAACCCGTATAGAAACGATTATCAGACATGCGACTAATAATAAGCATTCAAGGAGCTCTTGTGAAATAGGCAAACACAAAGTTTACTGTGACTCTGGTGATGGAAACTGAAACTAACACATTTAAGAAAATGGTAGGTGTTCGCATTGAAGTAAATTTGTGTCATCAGGATCACGTTGTAACGTCGAAACATGTAGAGTCGTCAACTTTTTGAAGGCCATAGATAGTCCTAAATAAAATTGTGTACCAGTTTAATGTTGAATGTTATTTATGATTTTAACTTTACACACAAGTGCCAAAATACTATAAGCATTATTGTTTTCTAGGTTGTTTTCTTTTTAACATTTTCTAGTGATCAATTTGTAATCATAATAAAATGAAAAGTAGGTGGCGTTGCACTGAATAAGACAATGTAAGCAGTTGGTCAACTTACTATTATTAACAGCAACATTTTTGCTTAAGTTTGTTTGTTTGTGATTAAGCACAAAGCTACACAATGGGCTATCTGTGCTCTGTCCACCACGGGTGTCGAAACCCGAATTCTAGCGTTGTAAGTCCTCAGACATACCGCTGTACCACTGGGGGCAATTTTGTATAGGACAATACTCTAGTAACATGTTTTTATTTCATACCAGTCATTCTTACGTTTAACTTTTGGAATAGTATAAAATCTGTGGAGCAGAGTCATTCATTCTACACTGTTGCCAATGTACTTCGTTTAACTAGTGATTAAAACGCCTACTTCGTTAACATGAAATATTTTTTAGTTACCTTATAGTGAGTCCAAAAGTTTTCAATGGACAGAATTCCTGTTATTTTCCTCCAGTTACAACGTACAGTTCACTATATAGTCCGTTACACAACTGAGTAAACGTTTTGAACAATTTATTATACGAAAATATGATTAAACGAGTTAATGACCCCCAAATGTTTTGAAGCAACTCTTTGTGCCCGATTTCTAAATTTCTAACACTAACCAAATTTAACCTATTTCCATAAATCATTTCATGCTTGGGGAAACAAACCTATTTTACAATCACAATTTGTAATCCCCAAACTATATTCTAGATTCAGGACTCAAGCCTCCCAATAGCTCAGCGATAAGTCTGCAGGGTTACGACGATAAGGATCAGGTTTCGGTACAAGTGATAGGCAGAGCGCAGATAGCCTATATTGTAGCTTTGCTCTTAACAACAAACAAGTCAATCAGAACTCAAGATATTAATATATTAATTTTGGAAACAGCTTCCTAGTTCGGTTTCAAGTTATCATATTAACAAACATTCAAAAAGCATGAAACATTATACCAACTGCTCCGCTTCTGACAGACTGGAAATTAAGTATTTTGTTGTAATCTAGATACACGAATTTCACTTTTTTTTTAACTCAAGTCAGCAAAGCTCTAATGAAGCTTCTGCAGAATCTTTTTGTACAATCACTATTTGTATAGAAACTACTTGTAAACTATCTACTGCGTACTATACGATCACTTAATACACAGATGCCTTATGGAGTTAAAAGTTATCATAATGAAATCCTATTATAATTTGAAGGAAGTTTGTGTGTTTATCATCTAGCTTCTAAGTTTTTGCATTCGGACCTATCGAATATGGTTGAATCAACTGGGAATGATTGGTGGTGTGTGAAGAAGCTGTTATTTTTCTTTTAAAATGAATCGATTTCATAGTTTCAGTAGTTTAGATTGCCACTAGCATATTTTGGAAATAAATAACTTTCATAAACTTCGCACGAGTACATCTGCTAAGTCAATTATTAACGTCTCATTCGAGTCAAAAATTAACGATTTACTAGAGACAATAGATATGTTTTAGTGAATTAGTTATTTATGTTATGACGGTTGGAGACGACGACTAATGTTTTAGAAGATTTGGCTGTTGATAGCTACATAAGAAATAATTGGTGTTTAGTGTTTTGGATAAGGGAAGCCAAAAGTTGAAATTGTTGATGAAATAAAATTACTTTTTATTTTTTGAATATACAAATATAGATTAATGAAGTTAACAACTAATGGGTTAGTTCAATTAATAGCTGATGTTAATGTTACGTCAAAAACAGGACATTTAATGGAATTAATCACTGAAATATGCGTGTACAGTTGATAACTGAGTTTAGTAAAATTTGTCACAGGTTGTGCAAGTTTGTGGAGGTAGCTTCTAATATTTCTACTCTAGTGAAATCAAGTTTACATTTTATATTGAGCAAACAGCTGAGTTATTGTGAGTCATCACCTGATGTCGAGGTGTGTTGTAAGATTAAATATAAATAAATAAAGATCAAATATAATGTAGTCGAAATAGAAGCTGTTTATGTTATTCATGTCGAGAGCTGTAATGGAAATGGCACAACTACTTCTTTAGTAATGTGAGATATAAACAAACCTTGCATTTAAATTTCATATCTTACCATCACAAAGTCAGAAACTGAAATATTTAAACCACTTTATAATTTGGAATTGGGTAGTACTAGTACCTCTATAACTTCGAATCTTGACACTTGTAGTGTTGTAAAATATTAGTTTTTGTGTTTATATGTTACAGAACAAAAATAAATATAAATCTATTTATTGAAATCCGTAACTGTTTTAAAACAGTTTTCCGTTTCAATGTTATACTCAAATTACTTATATAATAGATTTACCTTTAAAACCAATTCTGACATATATTTCTAGTTCTACCTAAATTACATTTAAAATATCACACATTAAATTCTATCCACTTCAGAACCAACACACACTCTGGTTGATCACTGTACTGTTATTTTTACATTGTTTATTATTCATTTGTGGCAGTAGCTTATTTTAAAACTTACTAAATGTTCTGCTATAAAGTTTACAACAAAACTATTTTAGAAAGGATTCAAGTAGAACGTTGAACTCACCTGAAGTGCGAATTATTACAAAAATTATCACTCAGTCAAGTCCTACAACAGACGTGCTGTATGTATCAAAATCATTCTATGTGGAGAGCTTCTGTGTTAAAGAATCGGTTAAAGTAACCCACAAATCTTCTGTTGCATCAAAATAATCAAATCACAGAGTTTGGTCAGTAAATATATGTATATGTTTACGCAGCAAACGATGTTAGCTAAGCCTAACAACAGTTTTAACTGTGATAGAAAAATAAACAAAGAAAAAACTTGGTATCTTCACATTTTCCAGACTTGCATCGATAGATTAGCCCAAGCTGGAGTTCACTTACCCTCGAACTCCATACCTCCCAACTATTGAATGTTTCCCACCCTACAGCTTGACGTGTTCAAATTCAACTTTCAAGACTTAGTAACCACTCTCCTTGAACTTGTGTACTGTTGTTGAGCTAATATTTACCTGTGAACGACAGCAATAATAACGTCACCGCTGTTTGAGGTCCGAATTCTGGTAACTTTTTACTTCTCAACTTAATCAGAAATGTTATATTTGTTTTGTTTTTACTGCTTCTGCTATTCCTTAAACAAGCGGCTTCCGCAACCAACTTCAAATCCTGTTTGAAAGTTAAACAACAACAAGCGCGCCACCGCTACTTGTACCTCTACACACAGAGCTAAACAATTCCAGTTGGCCCGAAGGCTAGAAAACACGTAGTTCCAGGACAGCAACGTCAGTGGTCATTGCGATGGGTATGTTGTGGCTCTGTGTATGATGAAACTTTCCATGGGTAGTTGAGAAACAATTCTAAGTTAACTGTTTTACACTTACAAGTATTAGTTTAACACTGTCGTCGCGAAGCGGTGGAGATTAGCCCCATCTTTCAAAAACAATCCTACCGGGATGTGAATAGGCTTATAAAATTGCCGGCAACATACGATACATATAACAAAATTAACGTCAGGCCTAATCGTATGAATTTCCAGTATATTGTACAAGACTTGTTTCTGGCAAACGTCTCTGTTGAACTTGTGGAAAAATTGTTCTTTATAAATTATATTCAAGTAATGAGAAAGATGTATTTTGTAGCTTTGATTATATAAAGCTAGACAGGTAAATAATTACATCTTCTTTAACATTGTACATAAAATTATATTTTAACATCCTACATAAAATTATATTTTAACATCCTACATAAAAATCTTATTATAACATTCTACATAAAGTCTTATTATAACATTCTACATAAAGTCTTATTATAACATTCTACATAAAGTCTTATTATAACATCCTACATAAAATCTAATTGTAACACCCGACATAAAAATCTTATTATAACATTCTACATAAAGTCTTATTATAACATTCTACATAAAGTCTTATTATAACATCCTACATAACGTCTTATTATAACACCCGACATAAAAATCTTATTATAACATCCTACATAAAATCTTATTATAACATCCTACATAAAGTCTTATTATAACATCCTACATAACGTCTTATTATAACATCCTACATAAAATCTAATTTTAACATCCTACATAAAATCTTATTATAACATCCTACATAAAGTCTTATTATAACATTCTACATAAAATCTTATTATAACATTCTACATAAAATCTTATTATAACATCCTACATAAAATCTTATTATAACATCCTACATAAAATCTTATTATAACATTCTACATAAAA